TTTTGAGATTTCAGTGAGATCAATCCTTATCTGATTTGGAAACTTCCTAAACTTCCATTTACGCTTTTCTGCAATCGCATCAACTTCAACGGACCAAACTCCAGGCCCTTCTTTTGCATCTTCGCCATCATTACCCCCACAATCGCCCTCGTGACATTCACTGCCACCTTCCCCACCATCTGTTTCCATGTGAAGTTCAACTACCGCAACTGTACCTCCTTTAACAGTCATTCTTTCAAAGCATCTTTCCAGTATCTTCTCGTACTCTTTTAGCCAAGACAAGACGTGAACAAAAAGGATCAGTTCGAATTCTTCCTCGAGCTCCAGCAGATACTTCTCAGAAGGCACTACTTCATACCTAATCTTGATATTCAAATCCCTTGAGACTCTCTCCAGAGCTGCCTTACAAATTTCGACAGCCTTTGGGTCTGGTTCAACCACTGTGTAAACAATCAATTGATTTTTTAGGCCCTGATCCTTGACGAGCTTTGACAGAATTTCCAGGAAGGCCCCATCTGGGCATCCTGATCCAGACCCAACAGAGAGAACTCGATAATGTGCTGACTGTTGAAACTTGTCATGAATTTCACTGATAAGTTCCTTCTCAATCCAATTTTTGTGACCTTTTGTAGCATCAATGTTGTATTGGGCATCATACTGCAGGCGAAAGTCTTCATAGTCGCCCTTTTGGTCTTTGCCTTCAGCCATTTTGCTACTTCCGAAAACAACGACAGACGTCTAGACACAACACAGGTCGAGACGACCTAAGGGAGTCTCGTAACTAGTTCGGCCATCTCGTGCTTTTCTAGTCCAGTGAGTGGAGGCGACGGATCTTAAACTTTTTAAATTTCGGACGATATATTTCGGCGGAAATATTGTTAGCATTTAAAGATATTCCGAGCGAATGAATTTCGACACGAAGTATAACTTTCTTTGTAAACTTTCGATTTCATTGCTCAGCCTGCACTAATTTTTCTGCTTATATTTTGATTTTTGAGAGAACTACTAAAGGGACTGTATGCTATTTCTTGAACATGTCTTGATACAAAATTTCCCAGAAAACTTCCGAAGCACATGCCATGTGGCCCCGCCTCCAGCCACGACGCCCCAGGATTGAAAATTCTCAAAATTTGTTACAGTGCTGCATTTATTATTTCACAGGGCAGAGGCACCGGAAGCTTCATGATGCGGCGGGGGCATGAACTGCAGAAAGGGCACCTTCGGATATCAAAGTTTTCTGCCAAAACAGATAGGGAATCGTCGTTTAGCCAACGACGAAGCCTGGTTGTATGTGAAGGCCCTGTCAAGGAAAAGCGGGTCGGTGTTCTTGGGGGTAGCCCCTAGGGAATTTTGCGTTGCTACGCCCTGAAGACTTTCAGAAATGGGGGCAACTCCCATAAAAAACATTTGAATCAAGACTACAGTCAAACATCATGCTCGAAACATCATTTTTTCACCCCAACATCAAGCTCAAGGGAGGTTGGACCCAATCCTACCTCACATAAAAGCAAAAAAGTTTTCTGATGACCATCTACATGGCTTGATATAACTTTTTTGTATAACTCCTCTGAACACACTGTGATTCTTTCTTTATTTAAAGTTGGTACAATCTATAGCTATACTAAAGCTAAAGCCAACTAATTTCAATTATAAATATAATAATAATAATATAACGAATCTTTATACAGGATGAACATTTAAACAACAAAAATGCTGTTGTCAATATGTGTCCTGTAATAAAAATAAAAGAAAGATAAAAACCTATAAAGAACTCTTAAAAAACCTAGCAGTAATTACAACATTTAAAAGATCCATGCTTATAGTATCACAATTTTCAACTAAAATGCTTCTTTAACAGTCCATCTTATTGCTTAAAAGATTTGGTTTTTCTATTGGTAATTCGTTGTTCTGCTGTACACCCATAAAATGGAACGACTTCCTAGCATAATCTGTTTTGATGCCTGGAAGCCTAATTAAACATTCGCTGTCTCTCGTTTGTGTCTTGTGCTGCTGTAGCTCGAAATAACTTTGAAAGCTCTCACATATATCATTGTCCAAACATTTACGCACAAGTTTACATGCCCTGGTCTTTACGGCATTGGCAACTGATTAAATTGATGTGGGATTTTCTGAGTTTCCGTTGATTATTTTCAAACAGCAATCATGAAATGATGAGAGTCTCTTTGCTTAAGTTGAGGTCAACTTGAGTAGCAGTACTCCGCAATACGTGAAGGTTGGTAGAATCATCGAGTCATACACTGCCTTTGCAGAGGTCAGATCAAGGGAATCCATTTTATTGGCAAAGATAATGGACCATTATCTTTGCCAATAATCGCAATCTGGATGATGCTCGTTTGAAACACTTTTCAAAGTGGGTATTCATATTTGGTGTACTATCTATTTCAATACAAAGATATTTGTATTGTTTGTTGTTTAGTATTTTAGAGCCTCGCTACATTACATCAAGTGTCTCACTTTGCTTTGAAGTTCTTTGCGAAGTCCCAAAAAGACAAGATTCCGTCTTGCTTTTTCAAGTTAATTATCAAACCGTTCTCATCAAACCAATCAGAGATGGACTCCATTTCTTTTGTGAGCTTGGTTTTGATGATCTTCAAATCTTTATCAGCAACGTAGATCACTGTATCATCAGCATATTTGACTATCCTGGCACCCTCAATAACATCAGTGATATCATTGAAGAATAGCATAAATAGCAAAGAAACCAAGATAGAGCCTTGAGGTACTTCTGTTTGGATGTCCGCTGTCATTGAAGAGGATTTACCATAACTTACAGCTCCTTGTTGTGTCCGCCATTTTTGGGTTGTTGTTGTTGGAAGAGGAGGAGGAAGGCAGAAGGAGGGACTGCAGAGACTGACTGAGACTGTTTGCTTTGCAACTGTTATAATGTGATACTTGTTGTGTTATTTACATATATACATCAACAGCAAAAGGATGATGTCTGGTTTTCTTGTCTCGGAGACTTTATAATGGCGACGAGGATAAAGCTGAGGTAAAAAAAAAAAAAAAACTAGGCCAATTCAGGAATCAGCGTAAAAGGTAGAAAAACTAGGCCGATTCAAAATGGCGGCTAGTTATGGATTGCATGCAATGACCAAGTTTGACCCGGAAGATCACCAAGGGAATGTTTATGAAGCATTTTGTGACTTTATTGATTCCTTTCATTATGAATATGATGCAATAGCCAAAGAGCCACCGAAGGAAGGTAGTAACACAGAGAAAGCAGCATGGGTAGAGCAAGATAAACGGAAAATTTTTTTAGGAAGGTTTGCCTCAAGAAACCTTCAAAGGGATTTTGAGGAAGTTGTTCCTGAAAAGGATAGGGGTAAAATCACTTTTATGGAGATGACAGCAGCATTAAAGGGAAGATATGATATCAGTAGGAACAAAACACTTGCCAATTTTGAGTTTCACAAGTTGTTTCAGAAGGAAAGTGAAAGTTTTGATTCTTTTACAGTAAGAGTAAAGCACGAAGCCAAAACATGTGAATTTTCTTGCACCAGTGAAACTTGTACAGTCAAGAATATCCTCACCAGAGACCAAATCATCATTGGAACATCGAATAATGAAATTCGCAAAAATGCCCTAAAGAACCAGTGGGACCTTGATAATCTGATTAAAGGTGGGAGACAACTGGAGGCAGCAGCAAGAGGGGCACAGAGAATCCATGAAAATAGTGAAGCACCTGTCTCCAGAATAAAGAGACCAGGAAAATACTCCAGAAAAGGGTCAAAATCAAAATATGAAGGAAAATTGCGAGAGAAATATTCCAACTGCCCAAATTGTTCATCGAGAGTATGTAAAGGAGGAAAGCAGTGCCCAGCAGCAAATCGTGAGTGCTTTGACTGTGGTAAAACAGGACATTTTAAAGGCTCGGCAATATGTAAAAAGAAGAGAGAGAAGATTAAACCTCGCACTCGGCGGGTAGAGAGCAGTAGCAGTAAGGATGAAAGCTCTGATACTGAAACATGCACATCTGAAAGTGACTCAAGTTCTAGCCAGAATATTAACCGTGTACGGTTCATGAAGAATGTTACAAAAATACGACACATGCGTATTCGCCAGCAGATGCGCAAAACATCAGAAAAATCACGCTATCAAGTTGAGGTGATAATTAAAGAGCGAAGAGTAAGTGCATTTGCTGACACAGGGGCGGATATTTGCGTAATGTCTAGGAAACAAGCTCAAGCTTTGGCTTTGCCCCTTGGAAAAACGAAGATGAAAATACGCCCATATGGATCAAAATCAGTAAAATGTTGTGGTTACTATATAGGCACAATCATGCATGGAGAATCAGTTGCCAATGCATGCATATACGTGGTCAAACAGGATCTTGAAACTTTGCTCAGTGGAAGAGTTTCAGAAGAGCTAGGAATCATAACATTTAACCCAACTCCAGATAACCAACAACCAAGTATTCGGCGCAACACAGAAATCAGAGATGACGTTAAAGCAAGCATTATTTCGCAATATCCAGAGGTATTTACAGGTATTGGTACATTAAAAGACCATTTTGTGAAGTTTCACATAAATGAAAATATTCCCCCAGTAGCTGCACCGGCCAGACCTGTTCCATTTCATTTACGGAAGAGATTTGAGAAAGAGATACAGACCATGGAAGAGAACAATATAATAGAAGAACATATAGGACCAGCACCATGGATTTCAAATGTAGTGCTCGCCCCAAAAGATGATGGTAGTATTCGGGTCACTGTTGACATGCGTCAAGCAAACCGGGCAATTGAATCAACAAACATTCCAATTCCCAGAGTAGAGGACATTAAAACACAACTTGCAAGGTGTCAACATTTTTCTAAACTTGATTTTAAGTCTGCATTCCATCAACTGGAGCTTGATGAAGAGTCTAAGAAGATCACAGTGTTTCATGCAGGTGACCGACTGATGCGGTATCGAAAACTTACTATGGGCACGAAACCAGCCTCTGGCGAGTTGACAAAGGCGCTTCTTCCGCTATTTCAGCCCATTCAAGAAGCACATGTTATCCATGATGACCTCATCATAGCAGCCAAAACAAAGAAACAACATGATCATGCATTAAATCGCGTCCTTCAAGTAATTGCAAAATCAGGAATGACTTTGAATCCTGATAAATGCATGTTTGATAAGGAGGAAATTCCATTCTGGGGACTACGTGTCTGCAAAGATGGTATTAAACCGGACCCAGAAAAGGTCAAGGCATTGCAACATGCCTCACGCCCACGTTCAAAGGATGAACTACAATCTTTCCTCTGTATGATCCAGTCAAATAAAGACTTCATACCAGACTTAGCAAGCAAAACAATGAACCTACGGATGCGAACAAAGAAACACAGTCGCTTCACTTGGGATAAGGAGTGCCAAAGAGAATTTGACAGGTTGAAAGTTGCATTCAGAGAAGACACTCTTCTCCGCCATTTCAATCCTGAAGAGGATACATTTATTTTTGTGGATGCGCATCTTTCAGGACTATCTGCAATTCTGATGCAAGGAGAGACAAGTGATAGTGCAAAGCCAGTAGCATTTGCCAGCCGTGCCACAACCCCAGTAGAGCAGAGATACCCACAGCTAGACTTAGAAGCACTAGCCATTGACTTTGGATTGCGTCGGTTTCGCTACTTTATTGCAGGAGGTCCTGAGATCAAAGTCGTTACAGATCATAAGCCCCTGGTAAGCATTTTTTCTAATGCTAGAAAAGGGTCGGTCAGAACAGACCGGATAAAGCTGCGTCATCAAGACATGAAATATAGAGTAATCTGGAAGGAAGGGAAAGTTAACCCAGCTGATTACCTTTCCCGACATGCAACACCAATTAGTAGCATCAGCAGAGATCAACAAAAAGAAACCAGTGAACTAGAAAAAACGGTCTGGCTTCTTCAATATGCTCCATACACCGAGTCCATTTCTATGAGTCGAATCATCGATGAGACAGATAAAGACAAAACACTTCATGAGTTGAAGAAATACATTAGAAAGGGATATGTACCAAAGACAAAGGGTAATCTCGCTCCATTCAAAAAGATCTTTGCGGAACTTACCATCTCAGATGAGGAACTGATAATGAAAGGAGAACGCATTATTCTTCCTGAGAGTTTGTGGGACATTGCCCTTGTAAAAGCCCACCAGGGAGGTCACCCTGGAATGAACAGCCTTAAACGCCGCCTACGCAGTCATTTCTGGTTCCCAAAAATGAACCAAAAAGTGGAAGAGAAAGTGGCATCCTGTAAAGAGTGTCAACTATTTACAAACAAGACAATGCACGAACCCATTCAATCTCACAGAACGCCGGAACATGCATGGCAAGATGTAAGCATTGATCTGTTTGGTCCTATGCCCGACAGTAAGCATGTGTTGGTAGTTCTGGATAAAATGAGTCGATCTCCTGCAGCAAAGCTTGTCCCAAACACCGCAGCTAAGCCTGTCATTAAAGCATTGGATGACATTTATACAGATTTCGGTTATCCTGAAATGCATCGCACAGACAATGGACCACCATTTGATTCAAAAGCATTTGCTGAATTTTCCCAAGGCAGCGGTATTGATCATGTTAAAACCTTCCCGTATCACCCACAAGCAAACCCTGCAGAAACATTTATGCGTCCTCTCGGAAAAGCGTTAAAGGCGGCCCATTTCAATAAAAAGGATAAACATACAGCTATTAAGGAAGTCCTAGCAACATATCGGGCGACGCCTCATCCTGCAACGGGAGTACCACCGGGAGATCTCTTGCTTCGTAGTGGGTATCGAAAAGATTTTCCGCGACGGCAACTGACTGAGCAACAGATACGCGAGGCTCAGATGCAAGACAGAGCACAACGTATGTCTCGAGAGGACCAAATGAACAGGTCGACCCATAGAAAGAAGTCCATCTACACTCCAGGGGATCTTGTGTACATACGGAACATGCAGCGGTGCAAGTTTGATCCCATCTTTGGGCCAGAGCTGTATAAAGTCCTGTGCACAGAAGGTAGCGGCCTGTTACTAGAAAGTTTGGCTGATAATAAAAGTTTCAGAAGGCACTGTGATGACGTAAAGCCTGCAGTTAGCCAAGGAAAAATCGAGGACCTTACTATTTGGATAGAGAACCAAGCCCATCAAACAGAAAACGCGAACAACCAAGATCCGGTTCCAGACATGACAGAAGAGCCAGTAATTGCCCCAGCTGGCGTTACAGCGCAACATCCAAATGAGGACAGGGCTACAAGACCTCGGAGGGAAACTCGTTTACCTGCTAGGTTCAAAGACTACGTCCGTTACTAAAAAAGGGGAAGTGGTGTTGTGTCCGCCATTTTTGGGTTGTTGTTGTTGGAAGAGGAGGAGGAAGGCAGAAGGAGGGACTGCAGAGACTGACTGAGACTGTTTGCTTTGCAACTGTTATAATGTGATACTTGTTGTGTTATTTACATATAAACATCAACAGCAAAAGGATGATGTCTGGTTTTCTTGTCTCGGAGATTTTATATAGAGAAAGTCAGTCACAGGGTTCCAACCTTCCAATTGGAAAACTCTGGTCAATCGTCATTGGTACAGGCACCGGGGAGGGTTGAGAAAAGTTGGAGGGCTAAAACCGTATAAAGAAGGCTTTACTGGTAGTTTATAACTTAATATCTGGCATTTTTAGCAAAAAATGGGGGGGGGCTAAAGCCCCTCCAGCCCCCCTGCTCCGCGGTGCCTGTGGTAACAACACAAACAGTAGGGAAACACACTGTCATAACTCTAAAGATGTACAAATAAGTAAAACTCCCCCCCCCCCTCCCGACTATAATATCCATGAAGGGACATTTAGAATCACAACATGTTTATCTATATAAACTGCAATGAATTAAAAAAAGGAAACGGACTTGGAACGGATGAATAAGATGGAACGGATGGTTGGCATTTCAGCAGATCACTATATTTGCAATAGTACAATTTGTTCATCTTTGTATCTTCATATTATTATAATTTCTCATTTTATTTGCTTATGTGATCAATGCTAAGATTTATAATAACAATACTCACAAATGCTTGTTGCTACTGCATGTTATAAAAGCTGTATCGAATACATTTGAATTTGAAATGATTGTATAATGAAATAGCTTATTGCAGGGTATAAAAATTTCTATAAATCATCAAATTGATCAGTGATAAAAGAGACTTGAACTATTCAAACTGGATTTTCTTACTTTCTAGTTCTTACTTTGACGCAATAAGAGCAGATTCTGCAACTGAAGCAAAATTTCAACAATTGTGGTTAAATTTGAAGATTTCAAACGTTTTTCTTAACTTCTAGGTTCTTACTTGGATGCCCAGAAACAGATTCTGCAGTAATCGCAAAAATTTCAAATATCGTGGTCAAATATCATTAATCTGTAAAGATAAAATGCAATGAGCTCAATCTTTCACTTCGTGGTAGGCCACTTAAAGATATTTCCGTTCCAAAATTACATTGGATTGAAAATGATGCAAAAACCTTCCTTTCATAGTTAGTTCTTAATAAGAATAGTAAATTTGATTTCAAAAGTTATCTTAATAAGGTAAACTTGATTTCGTACATGTACAAGGACTTTCTATGCGCTCATTTTCGAATCTCAATAACTAGTCATACTCTTTGCAGCCACGTCATAGGTTAGTAAAATGATGCTTTTCTTTGAATAAAAAACATGGTAATACTGAAGCTCAGGATGATATTCATAATAATTGCTTTGAAAATGATGACAAGGATTGTTATTTTAATGATGAAGATGTGAATGATAAGGATGCTTATAATATTAGTGAAAATGAGATACATATTTTCGACCCTAGATGTTCCCTTCGCAGAGACAAGCTTTGGATCGGCGAAGTACGACGGAGATGATTAGAGGAAACTAGAGTCTTTTCCCAAAAAATTAGACCATTCTTATATAAATACCTATATATCTTGCTCCTCTTTTAGATTTCAGAAAATTTTCAAAAAAGCCATACTCAAAGATACTTTTGGGAGCATTAAAGTATGCATGAATGTATATATGTATGTAGAAATTTGTCTTTTGATGCTTCCGTGTTGGTGTTGGCGTCGTGTGACTTTAGGATGCGTTTGTTGTGACAAGACAAGATACAGAAATCACACCGCATCTTTCCGTCACACAAAACACAGAAACTCTAGTACATCTGGACCCTTAAAGACAGTAACATCGACCATTCCAACTCCTGGCGCATCCTCTCAAAAAAGCCATCCTACAGCAGCTCAAACAAAAGATGAAACACCAAAGGCAAACTCAGATGGCATAAATCAACACTTAGAGAGTGGGCCAGTTCGAGGATTTATAGTAGCAGTGGGTGCTCATTCGAGGGGGGGGGGGGGCTTATTGATAATTTGTAGTTCTAGGGTGGGGGCTTATTCAAGGGAAGGCAATTCGAGGATTCACGGTGCATCATACTGAAGCAGGCGTATACAAGTAGAGGCACAGTATATTTTGTCTGTGCGCCAGTATTTAGGACAAAGTAACTTATTTTAAAATAGCTCCTATTTCAAAATGGCTTGGAAAAGGTGGGCTTGCAGTATTCTTTGCTATTACTGTTCCTTTTATAAAGCTGTTTTTATATACGTTGGCTCACCCTATAAGAACTACAATGTTCTCTAGGACATGCACGATAGAAAAACTTTAGATAGTCATTTAAAGATTGGCAGCCATAAAATAATAGTCAGTTATTATAACATACTGTAGTATGTTTTTGAGAATTCTATAAACGGATTGCAACACCAATTGATTGAGCTTCTTAGTTGCTTACTAGTTTAATTATCTATATTCACAGAGCTTAATTTGCATAAACAATTTTTTCATGCCAGATTTATCTGTCTTTATACTATAGAATAAATGCGGTAAATTCGGAAAACAATTCACAGCCTCATCGGCAAAGCACAGGAATAACAGTTTATTTTCTGTTCGGTGAACTTTTTCATTATAAACTTAGCGGTTTCCTTTCTACATTTACTGTTGGTTTAGCAAGCATTTAAGATTACTTTAGAAGCAATGAAGTAGATTGATTATATAACAAATTCTAATGCATACATTAAAAAAGTTATAGCCTTACCGAAACCACCATCCCTCCTTTTGTTCATTCAGGAAAGGCTTTAGTTGCGCAATGGACAGCATTTTGGTAACACTTACAGCTCTCAATCAATTCCAACATTGATAGTTAAAAACGTAAAGCTAGGAACTTTGAAAATAAACCCTCTGCTATTCAGGCAGTCATCCGAGATT